CAGTACGGCCTCTACTCCTCCTTCATGGGCTGCTTCGTGTACTGCCTGCTGGGCACGGCCAAGGACGTGACGCTGGGTCCCACGGCCATCATGTCCCTGCTGGTGTCCTCGTACGCCTTCCACCAGCCCGCCTATGCCGTCCTGCTCGCCTTCCTCTCGGGCTGCATCCAGCTGGCCATGGGGCTCATGCGCCTCGGTGAGATGCCCTTGCCGTGCACTGATGTGTTAGGGATGTTGCTGCACAGCCTGGAGCTGTTCCTTCCTCCTCTCTGCTCCCCGGGACACTGGCGCTGTCCTGCTGTCCCACTGGGGTCAGGATGTGCTCACCGCCTCCCATCCCATGCAGGATTCCTTCTGGATTTCATTTCCTGCCCGGTCATTAAGGGGTTTACATCAGCTGCTTCCATCACCATCAGCTTCAACCAGGTCAAGGTAGGACCTGCCCTGTGCCGGTGCCTCTGCAGCTCTCTCCTGGTGCTGTGCAGCTGGGACATTCAGCACGGGCTGGGCCGTGTGCTCAGTGCGGGGGGAAGCAGCCCCAAAGGGGTCCCGGGACCCCCTGCCCGTGGTTCTGCTGGGTCCCTGAGCGCCCTGCTCGGAGCAGACCGAGCTGAACACCCTCTGCTGGTGACCAGCTGGTGGCATCCAGGACACCAGCAAAGCCAGGACATGGTGCTGGTCACCTGCAGGAGGCACTGGGCGATCCTCTGGCACGGTGGGTTTGCAGATTTGGGAGCTGGGGGTCGTTTGCAGCCCTGGGAGACCCTCGGTGGCCTCGCAGGGACCGGGGGCTCTGCTGGGCTGCCACACTTCCCTTGTGGTTAACCCAAATCAGAGCTCTGGCAGCAGCTCCAGGCCATGTTGGCTAATGGCTGCGGTCACGGGGCTGGGCTGGGCTGGGCTGGGCTGTCAGCAGCTTTTCTGCCTGCACAGAACATCCTGGGCCTGCAGGGCATCCCGAGGCAGTTCTTCCTGCAGCTCTACGAGACGCTGAGGAGGATTGGGGAGACCAGGTCAGCCCCCCCTGCCCTGCTCCCCATCCCTGGGGCTGATTTCTCTGTGACACAAAGCCCCTGCCCTCCCCTCTGTGGAGCTCTCCGGCGGTTTGGGTGGCACTGCTGTGCCTCTTGCAGGGCTGGGGACGCTGTGCTGGGGCTGAGCTGCCTGGCAGCGCTGGCAGGGCTGCGGGCCATGAAGAGCCACCTGCCCCAGGCTGTCCCCACGGCCCCGCTGGCTGTCAGGATCAGCCACCTGGTTGTGTGGATCTGTGCCACAGGTGTGTGACAGATCCCTGTCCCCTGCCTGTCCCCTCCCGGGCTCATCTTGGGCTCAGGGAAGGCAGAGCCTGAAATGGGAAAGGCTGGCAGGCGCCAGGACCTGGAGGTGGGGCAGGGAGGAGAAGTGCCAAGGCTCCTGTCCCCGTGTCCCTTCCTAGGGCTGGGCAGTGCCCAGCAGTGTGGGCACCATCTCCTGCCCCCTTCCTAGGGCTGGGGACACCCCAGCAGTGTGGGCACCATTTCCTGCCCCCTCCTGCTGCCCTGGCCTCGGGCAGGGCTCATGGCTGCTCTCTCCACTTTGGCAGCACGCAATGCACTCGTGGTGCTGTTTGCTGGCCTGGTGGCTTACTCCTTCCAGGTGATGGGCTGCCAGCCCTTCAGGCTCACGGGCAGAATCCCCCAGGGGCTGCCACCCTTCCGGCCACCACCCTTCTCCCTGGCAGTGCCCAACGGCACCGTCCCCTTCCCCAGCATGCTGCAGGTGGGTGCTGCCATTCCCAGGGGCTGCCCTGCTGCCTGTGCAGGCTCCCAGCCCCCCTGATCCCCCCTGGATCCCTCCCTGATCCCCTGGATCCTCCCTCCCAGGACATGGGCGTCGGGCTGGCTGTGGTGCCGCTCATGGGGCTGCTGGAGAGCGTGGCCATCGCCAAGGCTTTTGGTAGGGCTGTGCCAGGGCCTGCCCTGGGCTCCTGGGGGTCTCTGTGGGGTTTGGGGTGCTGGGGAGGGGTCTCTGTGGGGTTTGGGGTGCCGGGGAGGGGTCTCTGTGGGGCTCGGGGTGCCGGGGAGGGGTCTCTGTGGGGTTTGGGGTGCCGGGGAGGGGTCTCTGTGGGGTTTGGGGTGCCGGGGAGGGGTCTCTGCAGGGCTCAGGGTGCTGGGAAGGTGCTGCTCCTTTTGGGGCACTGGGAGGGACCGGGCTCAGTTCCCAGCACGGGCTGGCAGGAGGGGCACTGGGGTGCCCAGCTGAAGTTTGCCCAGGAGGTGAGCGTTGTCTCGGGGTGCTGCTGTGCCCAGGGGTGCCAGGGCAGGGCCCACGCTGTCCCATCACTGCTGGTTCTGCTCCGTGTGCGTGGCAGGTGCCTGTGGGAGCCTCAGGCCAACGCCAGCCTCTCCTTTCAGCCTCACAGAATGGCTACAGGATTGACCCCAGCCAGGAGCTGCTGGCTCTGGGTAAGAGCTGCTGGCTCGGGAGGGCAGGGGTGGGACCGGGTGTCCCAGAGCCCCTGGGCTGCCTGAGATCCCGTCTGGCAGCCCTGCCTTCCTGAGCTTCTCCCTGCCTCCCTGAGCTTCTCCCTGCCTTACCTGCATGCTGCCCCCACCCCAGGCGTTCTCTCAGCTCAGGAATTTCCAGAACAGGCTGAGTCACTCCTGCAGGGTCAGGGAGGGGACACAGACCCAGCAGTGCCCCTTTCCTGGTTACACAGACACAGCAGTGTCCCCCAGCCCCTCTCCTTTGTCTCCCCAGGTGTTGCCAATGTCCTGGGCTCCTTTGTCTCCTCGTACCCCATCACGGGCAGCTTTGGCCGGTGGGTAGCACGAGGGGAGCAGGGCACTGGTGGTGGTGAGGGAGCTCTGCAAGGTCCTGAGTGGCAGATGTGCTGTGCCAGTGGGTCCCTGAGATCATGTCCTGGTCCCCAGCAGGCCACCTTGGTGGCTGGGCTATGCTTGTGTCCCAGTGGCCACCCTCCCTTCCTCAAGGGCCACCTCCCTTCCTGCTGTGCAGTCCCTGAAGCCGGGGGCTCGCTGCTGTTCCTCCCTAACAGGGTGGCTTCTCCTGGGTGGGGTGTGGGCAGGAGCAGCCCCAGCCTGGCACAGCCTGGCACAGCCTGGCACGGTGCGTTTGTGTTTCAGGACAGCAGTGAATGCCCAGTCAGGGGTCTGCACCCCCGCGGGAGGGCTCGTCACAGGTACAGCCCTGCCCTGCCCTTGGGTGCCCCTGGGTGCTGGGTGCCCCTGGGTGCTGGGTGCCCCTGGGTACCAGGTGCCCATGGCTGAGGGTCCCTCTCCCACAGGTGCCCTGGTCCTGCTGTCCCTGGCATACCTGACCTCTCTGTTCTATTACATCCCCAAGGCAGCGCTGGCTGCTGTCATCATCTCGGCCGTGGTGCCCATGTTCGACGCTGGCATCTTCCGGAGGCTCTGGCGGGTTCAGAGTGAGGGCAGGGGCAGAGCCCCAGTGGGGGCAAGGGCAGTGCCCCAGTGCAGCCGTGCAGGAGCCACTCTGGCAGTCACAGCCACCCCTGAGCTGGGACTGAGCCCCTGCAGGGCTCCCCTGCCCCTCTCACACAGAGCAGGGCTCCTCTCTACCCCAGGATTCCCATAGCAAGGTCACAGACATGCAGATTCTTGAAATAATTTAATTCTGGTGCCATAGCTAAATAACAGAATGACAGCTCGAGATTCGGAGGAGGGATCCAGAACAAAGGAGCCTGTGAGCTTTTATCCTTTTATCCCCTCACAAACATTCAAAGTCTGGGGCTGGTCTCTGAGTGTCCCATCACTGTCTGAGTGTCCCATCATGGTCTATGAGCATCCCTGAGTGTCTCATCAATGTCTGAGTGTCCCATCACTCTCTGAGTGCCCCATTACCATCTCTGAGTGTCCCATCATGGTCTCTGAGTGTCCCATCAGAATCTGAGTGTCCCATCACTGTCTGGGTGTCCCATCACCATCTCTGAGTGTCCCATCATGGTCTATGAGCATCTCTGAGTGTCTCATCAATGTCTGAGTGTCCCATCACTCTCTCAATTGCCCATCATGTGCCCCAGGGTCCCTGTGTCCTTTGTCACGCAGAGGGGACACTTCCCAGCCCCTCCCCAGGGCTCCCACCCTGAGCTCAGCCTGCAGCTCCACCACAGCTGCCCCAGCCCCTGCACTGAGTGGATTCCTCCAGACCCAGGGTGCAGCCTGGCTGTGCCCGCAGAGCTGGCACTGTCACCG